AGCCTAGGATCCGTGTGTAATATATATATAATACAGAGATCTTTTGGAGAGCAACTGTTTTCCTAGCTCTTTTTTAAACTTAGGGAGGCTAAGTACAGTGTACCTCAGTTCATGAACTTAATTCGTTCCGCGACTCTGGTCGCGACCCGAATTGGTCACGACCCGAATCAAATTTTCCCATAAGGTTCAATGTAAATATGGTTAATCCGTTCTGACCCCTCCAAATTTGGTCGCCAACTGATTTTGGTTGCAACCCGAATCAAATTTTCCCATAAGGTTCAATGTAAATATGGTTAATCCGTTCTGACCCCTCCAAATTTGGTCGCCAACTGATTTTGGTTGCAACCCGAATCAAATTTTCCCATAAGGTTCAATGTAAATATGGTTAATCCGTTCTGACCCCTCCAAATTTGGTCGCCAACTGATTTTGGTTGCAACCCGAATCAAATTTTCCCATAAGGTTCAATGTAATTACGGTTAATCCGTTCTGAACCATATGTTTTGTTTTGTTTTTAAACCACAAAAATATGACACAAAGTACAGTACGAAGAGAGAGAATGCTAACTTTGCTCGACGCGACTGCTGGCGTGGAGGACAGGAAGGCGGGTGGGGAGGTGGTTATTGTTTGGAGGGAGAGTCCCCCTCCCTACAGGAAGCCACGACCACGTGTCACGGAAGGGAAAATGGCCACGGATCCTGTTCGTCACCCGATCCGGCGTTCAAGAACGAAAGGAAAATTCTGTGAACAGTGCTGTTCGTGACCCAAATTGGTCATGAACAGAAGCGTTCGTGACCCGAGGTACTACTGTATATGTTAAGCACCCATCCCCATATTTAGAGATCAAATCCCATTCAAACATAAAAATAAAAAACCCCAAAGCCACTCCAGTGGTAAGAAGACCTATGTATTTTTTTACCCACCTACCAATTTCCCTGCCCAGTGATTCATGATCCCATGTGAGTCTTGTCAAAACTAAAGCCCTCTGGATATGTTTTACTACAACTCCCCTCATCACAGTACAGAGTTAATGGGGCTTGTAATTAAACACATTCAAGGAGTGAGAGGAGGAAGGCTGTCCTCCACAGGAATGCCCATGGGGAATACCAAAAAAAGTCAAGATGCCAGCTGTGCATACTGGCAGGTGGAATTGACAAAGACCTGGATTAAGCTTGGCATTTATCCCAATAAAATGAAGATTATGCCTTCCCTGCAAATGATCAGTCCCCAGAATCTGCAGTGCCAATGTGAAATGGAATTGCCCTTCAGGGTCAATGTCAACAGAAATTTGCCGCATCCCTCTTGACAGTTAACCCTTTACTGTCTACATACTGCCTGCTGTTTGGTGTCTTCACCACCACATGTTGCATCATGAGGATCACATGGTGTTATGGTGAATATGACATATTTGCCACATTCCAGTGTTGGTGATTGATAAGGCTGATGCGTATAACCACGTGATCGTTTCTTTCTTACTTCCTAGGCAAGTGATTGCACCAATGATGACGTAAAAGTAGTGGCCTCTTTCCTGGATGATAAGGATAAAGACACCAAAACTGAGGCCTTGAATGCCCTCAAAGCCTTCACTGCCATCTGGAGGTTTAAAATCAAAATCCAGGTAAACATTTATGGAAACTGTGTATGAATCCCAAAATATTTCTAGGGTGCCTAATTTCTTGTAGTAACTTTAATATAAGGCATATATAATCATATTAGGCTGTTATACGTAAACAGCATTAAGGATTTTATCAGCTGCCTAGCCATCCGTAAGGATTCTGACCTCAGCATAACTTTCTACAGATGTGATTTTTTAAATCTTGTAATTGCTATTGATTTATGCTTTGCTTCCTTTTTGTATGTTTTAGGTTTTTTCAAAGTGTGTTTTGTATTTTACTTTCAAAATTGTATTTTTGTAAGCCACTCTGAGACGTTATTCAAAAGGATGGGATACAAATAATTTTTAATTAATAAAATGAACCCTGAGAACAAAGCTATTCAGTGCTCTGCTTTGCATATTTTCCCTTGCAGGACGGGGGCTGGTGTCTAAATTAACTCAGTTAGAAATTGACACAGAGAAAAAACCCCACCATTGTCTAACAATCTCACAGCAGCAATTCATAGTTGCTTTTAAGTTTTGAAAAATGCATCTCTGTTCATATCTCCATCATATATGTAATATTTTAATTTTATTCCTTTAAAAATTAAAAGGAAAAGAAGAACAAGAATAAAGAAAGATATAAACTGGAGAGAAAAAAAAAACCTTCCAAAGCCAGAGAGGGAGAGAAGAAAAAAAATCCCAAAACATATAGAAAATCATTTATCCTAATTGTTAAATACTTAATTAAATCTTGATTATTTGAAATAATATCCATCAGTCTTTCCATTCTAGCAATAAATAGGCAGCTCATAAAAACACATACTGGTCTAATATGTAAACCTGGGATTACACTGTCTTTCCAGCATGGAAGAGTCACTTCTTTTGAGGGCCCCAATACTTCATAACTCTACATCTCTTCACACTGTGATGAATTTCAGGTTTGGGGTATATAATTCAGAAGTATATTAATATCTTTAAATAATATTGAACTTGTAAGGCCATATTAAAAAATTTATGGATATTGTTTTGGGAGAAAGTAGTGGACTACAGTATATAAACATGATTGTGCAACAAAAGCTAACATTTTCAGAGGTTAATATTCTTTTGAACTATATACCTAGTATATGGAAATTGACATCTGGATAATGTAAATGGATTCTTCATGCCCTTACTATGGCCAAAAGACAGATATTGCAACATTGGAAAGATAAATGTATGGTCCCATTCAGTCAATGGATTGAAGACCTGATTGCATTTGCCACTTATGAGCGGATTGCCTATAGATGTAGACTTTGTATGAATAAGTATAATGAAATATGGGACTCCTTTATACAAAATATAGTAGGTTAAAAAAAATTACAGTCATATAAATGTATTGGAAATATATTGTATAATGGTATACTACATTAAGGTTTTTTTTGTTCTTGAATTTTTGTCACTTTTTTGTAATACCAGCTTTTAATATTTTCTTCTTTCTTCTTCTGTATTATTATTTTTGTCTTTTTTTCTTTTTGTTATTAATTAAAAAGCAATAAAATTTATAAACAAACAAACTTATGGATATTGAACCAAAATAAATAAATAAGGCAATAAGTATAAGATGCAGATGTTATACGAATGAGTGTCCCCTCATTTATTTATTTTTTTTACCTTTTTTTGCCTTCAAGTCAGGCTTGACTTCTGGTGACTACATTGACTGGTCCATGCAGTTTCTTAGACAGATTTTTTTGGAAGACGCCTCGCCTTGCCTTCTTTCTAGGGCTAAGGGCTGAAATCATCCAGCTGGTTTTTTATCTAAGAAAGGACTAGAACTCAGGTTTTCCCGCTCCTAATCCAGCATCTTAACCACTTTATACTTCTAATATAAATTGTTAGTCAACCCTTTGTAGATATTCACTCAAGTGGCTAGTAAATGTAGAAATGAATCTTTTGTTGAATTAGTCTCATTTTAAGATTATAGGAAACATATTTAATATTCTTTAAAACCCTTAGCCATGATTTATTAATATGAAATATTCAATATTTCTTGCAAATAGCTAAATTCCAATAAGTGATACTTTTTAATTGTTTGTTTAAAAAATACTGTACATATCAAAGCATCTGGAAGACATTCCAATATTAATAATAGCTTGAGAGTTTATACAGTCCTAGTGCACCTGACCAAATTGTGAAATCGAGAGATGTTTTAACTGAATATTCTGCCATTTCACAATTTTATGCATTCCAGATTCTTCTTGCAATAAATCAAATTATTCATCCTGATTGACAATAGTGTGGTCTAAACTATTATTGCCTTTGGCTTCCAAAAGGACCCTTTTACACTAGGATTACCTCAAAGTATAAATATGTGAATAAGGATCAGAATTATATTTCCTTGCCAGAATCTTCCAATTTTTTTCCCAATTGGCCTGTTTTATTAGACAGAGCATTTTGTACATAACAGTAGCTAGAATGTAATACAGAACTGTTATTATACGCTAGTGATACATTATTGATATTAAAATCTCATCAAATTTATAAATGCTGTATAAATGAATATTACTTCAAGATTGATATATTGGCATACAGTAGTGATATTCCTAGGCTTATACCTTAAAGTTATTTCAAGCAGATTGATGGAACTGATCAACTTAAAAATTAGAGGAAATAAAAGGCATTCTTGATGAGTTCCATATGACATCATAATAGTAAAATAGATAATTCCATTTATAATAATCTCAGCAAAGGGAATTGAATGCTATATTTTGATCCAATTGATAAAGAAGGAGAAAATTTGCATTTAGGCCATATACAGTCATGTGAAAAAGAAGTACACCCTCTTTGAGTTCTATGGTTCTATCAGAACATAATAAAAATCATCTGGTCCTTAGCAGTTCTCAAAAGTAGGTAAATACAAC